CACTAGAGTGTGCACATGGTGTCTGGCATTTATGCTGGCAGATGTTCAGGTATCAGGCAGGTGATGATTATCACGACATCAGTATCAGACCATGATTATTCAGTACCAGTTTCAGTTCAGTTCAGTTATATATGCGAGGATCATGATATTGTAATTATTTTCACTATTTACTTTAGTATGAGTTTCTGCGGAGTACAGTGGATTTAGTGCTCATGCCCCATATTTTTCATGTTTTTCAGGTAACAGAGTCGGAGCCGAGGAGTGAGCTGGCGGCTGGTTCAGGATTTTCAGTCATGTGTTTAAAAATGTTTTGGCGACGCTACGTTTTCCGCTGTTTATGACTATGTGACGAATTTAGCTTTTAAACTGACTTTCAGTCAGTTAATATGTTATGTTAAACCGTTTGTTTTCTTTAAAACTAAAATAACGGTTTTTCAGGTTAAGTTATGTTTTATGGTAACACTCCGAATCAGTATTTCGCAAATTAAATGTTTTTATTTTGAAAAACTTTGCGAAAAACGCACTCTGATTTTCATGAAATAGTGGGGTGTTACAGTTGGTATCAGAGCACGTTTCTGTGTCTCTTAAAATTTTTACGAGTCGAAAAATTTTCAAAAACCTGAACACGTCACGCTCACGCCTCGCCGACTACAGGTAAGTGTTGATTCATGTTTTTAAATTATAAACAAATTACTATGTATATGCTCAGAATTTTATCAGTTATGAATTAGTTAAGATGCTCGAATCATGTTCAGGATCAGTAGTCAATATACCCATGATTTAATGTCAGTATTTTTCAGCCATGTTAGGTAACTCGTCAAGAGATTTGTGCACTCTAGTAATCAGCTAAAATATTTTTCATGTGTTCAATAATGTTGAACTTTTTCAATGTCAGATGTCGCCCCGTAGGGAACCCGATCGTCCGGTTGTCCCCCAGGCCACAATAGTCGCACAGTTCCGCGACTACCACCCCGAGAAATTCTCCGGTCAGGGAGATCCTCGTATCGTAGACGAATGGGTTCAGGGCCTTGAATTGATTTTCGAGGTCATGGACTGTCCAGATCGCTATCGCGTT